TGTCCAACCTGTCCAGGTCTGCTTGTAGTTGTTCCCTGCCCTCCGGTGTGTCCACTTCTCCCCACAGTTTTGTGTCATCCGCAAACTTGGACAGAGTACACTTCACTCCCTCGTCCAAGTCGCTGATGAAGACATTGAAGAGTATCGGTCCAAGGACCGAGCCCTGCGGGACCCCACTGCCCACACCCTTCCAGGTCGATACCGACCCATCCACTACGACTCTCTGGGTACGACCCTCCAGCCAATTCGCCACCCACTGGACTGTGTAGTCATCCAAGTCACAGCCTCTTAACTTGTTCACCAGTATGGGGTGGGATACCGTATCAAAGGCCTTCCTGAAATCTAAGTAAACGACGTCAACCCCTACTCCTGCATCCAGGTGTTTTGTAACCTGGTCGTAAAAAGAGACTAGATTAGTCAGGAATGATCTACCTGCTACGAACCCGTGCTGGTTTCCCCTCAGCATAATTTTTCCTGCCGGGCTCTCGCAAATGTGAGCCTTGATAATTTTTTCAAAGACTTTGCCAAGGATGGAGGTGAGACTGACTGGCCTATAGTTGCCTGGGTCCTCCTTCCTCCCTCATGTGTATTAAATAGTGATTCCCAAAGTTGTAGCAGAAATTCTTTGTTCAGATCTAGTGGTCAGAACTAGTCCAGCATACAAAGAGTGTAAACAGACACTGCATTTCTCCAACTGGTCACGGAGCAGGAACGAAACTTGGAAGGGCTATATGTGCTGCTCCTGTTTTGATCCAAGTCAAAACCTGAGACAATCACAACTGCCTCAAATGACAAATCTCTTTACAACCAGTATAAAAAAGTTACATCATCATCAAATAAATAAATAAATAAAATCGTGCATGGAAGCACATCAAGTTTTCTCCCTAAAACTCCACTGTTATTAAATAGCAATAAATGAACTTCCCCCCCAGGTTTGAGTGCAGTCTCCAAGGCCTGAATTTTCTCTCCATTTTGTATATAGATCTGGGCTTGTTATTTAAGATAAAATTGTCATATACACACTAGGAGGCTTGTTATTTAAGATAAAATTAAAGTTCTTGGGGTTAGAGAGTCTTTCTTGCTTGTGAAGTGCTAGGTACTCATAAATAGTTTACCATAAACTAGAATTATTACCTTTGGGCTTCCTTTTGCTTTTCCAGTTCTACGGTCTTCCGCTCTTGTTCCTTCTGTTTCAGCCTCTCTGCTTCTAAACTCTTTTGCTTCTGAAGTTGCTGTTTGTTATGTATCTCTCTCAGTTCCTACAGAAAAATCAACAAATATGTGGCATGTAACCATACACTTTATAGTAACAGCAGTACAAATGGCTCCACATTTCTTATTGTGAAGGAAATCTCTGCTCAGGCTTTTAGTGTTTTCAAATAATTTGGCAGTCATGTATGATAGATTTGGAAAGCTCTGAACCACTTATCCTCCATCCACTTTTAGCCATATTCAATAAAAGGAATAAAAAGTAAAAAAGTGATCTATTTATTTAAAAAAACTGAAAAAGATAAAATGATTTAGCTATGGTTTAATTTTATATATATAAAAAAAGTTATTGGCAATTCTTGTTACATCAATTTATCAGATTTCTTATTCTTTCTGGCAATTTTTTCAATTGATTCTTAAGATACTTTTACAAATTCTGGGAAGTATTGTTCAGTGTACTGGTTTCAGTTCAAAATCCCTAGTAATTTCACTGCCATACTAACTGCTAGAGCATTTTCAAGGTAATTTTCTATCTAGGAAATTGAATTCTCCAAACAGTGTGCCTCTGGAATTAAATGGAGGCATAGCAAGAACACTATTAATTTGTCTGAAAGTGGTGATTTTACCACAATTACAAAGACAATGTTGAAATCATATGGGTTGTAACTAACGTTTAAAAAATGCAGTATTTTTTTTTAAGAAAAACTGAATGTTAGCATTAACATTAATAACTTTTATTATTCTTAATATCTTTAAAAAACCCTTAATTTTAAACCTAAACTTTTTGCCAGCATTCTTCTAAATCAATGATGCTCAATCTATCTGGCCTTGCCAGCCAAAAGATTGACACGGGGCTGCTCCATGAGGCAGATCCCATGGGTGGGGTTGGTTCACAGACCTGATCACTGCAAGGTGGATCGGTGCCTGGGATATGACCCTATGCACCAGATCAGGTCCCACGTGCCAAATGTGGCTATGGAGTAACCCCGAATGACAGATTCAGCAGCAGACTGACACTGCATGCTGATGTTATCTGGAGCATGGGGCCATGTCATCTGACCGGCAGGGCTCCCTAGGGGAGAAATTTGGAGGTGGGGGAGCAGTGACAGTGTTAATTGCTACGGCTTCCAGAGCTGTGGCAATTTATGCTGCCACCGCTTCCCTCCTACCAAATTTCTGTACCTGTGGGGTGCCTTGAGGGCTGGATGACATGGTTCTGCAGGCCAAATCTTCCCCACTGGCCATACAATGAGCAACAGACCTTGAGGTACTTTTAAGAATCACTGATGTCTTTAAGATAGCTGACAGTCTTCCCTTTGAAAAATCCTTGCCTCTTTGAAAAATCAGTCACACCTTTTTTAAATGACCACGTGACCACTTGCAATCTGTGACAAAAATGTAGCTTAGATTTCAAGTGTGAAAAAAAAAATCTTAAAACTTTTCTATTTCTGTCACAGGGAACTCTGAATTTAATAAATTATCCTAATCATTTCTGTGCCTTAAATATATTGCAACATGAACCAGAACAGACAGGTTTGTATTATTTTTACATGCTTGAAAATTTAACCTATATCTCTTAAAATTAAAACCTCCCTCACATGTATTATTAATAGACTGGGCTATTTTAGTCAGAATTTCATAACCTGAAAGTTACTTTACAGATAAGCTCTCTCCTAAGATGTAATTTTCCTCTTATTTGGATTTTTTTGTATCAATTGTTCTGGAAAAAATGTGTATGAGCAACAAAAAAATGAGCACTGAAATCACACAAGTGATTCAGACAAGGAGCAAAGGGGTGAAAATTTGACAAATAATATTAGTGATTACTCTGCTACTTTTTAATAAAAACTTAAAATAAATGTGATATTAATTTATTCTTTATCCTCTCAAGTCTACAGAACTGCTTTTCATTAAAAAACTGGGTCAGTGAAACAAGCAGGTATATTAGCAATCAACTTTATACAAACAACTTGTGAGACCAGACTCTAAAGTAGGCATCAAAATAACTAAATTGTAATAAGTGGTTAATGATCTCTGTAAGCCATTACAAAGCTAAGAATATATATGTGGCTAACAGGCAAAATATAAATGCCCTAGCTCACAATTTAGTTTTATTTCTGACCCTCAAGTTTAACTTGAGGGAAACAGAACTAAATGCTACAAAATAAAAACCCATATTCCCTAAGAGTCATCATTACACTATGCTTAGCCTGAGACAAATCTGTATAAGTATGGAAGGGGCAATTTGGGCAAGGCTATATTCAATGGCTACTAACAGAAAATCACAATGAAACACGCTAATCTAGGAGAGAGATGAGAGAGAACATACGGTACTGTAACCTTGCAAAACCCTCCATGGAAATCTACCATTCAAGCAGAGTATCTACTTGCTTACACTTTACCATGAACATGCTAATGCTGTCTGTAAAATAATTATCCCAGAATAAGAAAATCATTTTCATTCCAGAATATGTACCTACAGGGAAAATTACACTAACATTTTAATAGTAGTACAAGTAGTTATGCGGGGAATTTAAAAACAGCACAAAGAAAAGTCAAGTCATGCACAAAAGAGGTAAGTGTGGTGCAGTGGTGAGGTCTATTACCAGCTCTGCTATGGGCTTGGTGTGTTATCTTGAACAAGTCACTTCAGCTTTTCTGTACTGTGGTTTTGTCTAGGCCAGTAGTTCTCAGCCTGCAGGCCACAAGCAGCCCAATGAGCACACACCCACTATGGCAAGTAGGTTGAGAACCACTGGTCTAGACTGTAATCTCCTTTGACCAGAGACTACACCACTACATGTCTGTACAAGGACCAATACAGTGGGGTCACAAGTTGCTCCTGTTCCTTGTGCAAGGTGACTTTCTAAGGTTATTCAATGTTAACCTAATTTCATAGAAAAATGTATCATGACTTCATAGGTTAGGTTGCAACAAAGCTTCCAGTTTAAGCCTTATTTGTCACTGTGACTAACTCACAGAGTTAACATTTCCCTCTGAAAACTGCAGTTATCTATGTAGAATAAGTCAATTTTTCCCCCATTAACAACTATGAGGAAAGGTAACACTACGAACAGTTTAAAAATGATGCTTTTTAAAAGTTCTAGAATGCAGCATGATTTTTGATCCTGCTCTACGAAAGACAGCGATGTACAGAGCTTGAAAAATCTAATCAACCAGGGAAAAGAAAAGAAGCCACTGGCTTTTGAGAGAGAAAGGCAGGAAGAAAAGAAGCCATCCACACTGACCCTTTTAGCATAGAGAAGAGAGAAAATAGGGGGTACATCCAGTGGCGATGCGTAGGGGATGCACGGGGGTGCACACATGTGCCCCCCCTGACTGGCCATGCTCGCTGCTTAGGCGATGGGCAGGGGGGGCAGGTGGGAGCACCAGTCCTCCCAAGTGCCGGCTGGGGAGCAGGAGCGCCATGGTGCTCCCAGAAGCGGCTGCTGCTGCAGGTGCAGCCACAGCAATCAGCTGCTTCATGATCAGCTGAAGGGGACCCCCCCCCCCCCCGGTCAGGCAGATTGGCCCCCCTGGCCGCTGACTGGTTGCTGGGGGGCACATCCCCCCCTCCCCTCCCCCCCCAACTGAGGCGGCACTAGTCACCCAAAGTTACATCCAGAAGATCAGCAGGGGAAAAAGAATCCTGTGGAGGGGACTAAGCTTTATAGATAAGAGGGCCACAAACTTTATTGAAAGGCTGGAGAATTAACTGGGGAAAATACTAATTTGTTTGGAGACAGACAACATTAAAAATATTTAAGAGGGTGGAAGTGATATCTGCTAATGTAAAAATCCATCTGTGGAGAAAAATGTAAGGCATTTTTTCACCCAGGACAGTACCCCTAAATCTTCAACCTGGTAGAAACTTTGCCAACATTTTCAAGCTTTGAACATACTTGCAAACCTATAAATGTTCATTCGTTGCATAATTTTGGAATAAGAAGAGGAATCTGAAGGGAGACTAGCACTGGCAATATTCACAGCTGCTGACAGGATCTCTAGTCAGCTAGCAGCAAGGACAGTGAGAACACAGAGTATAAACAATTGCAGAGGAAACTGGAGCTGGAGGCAGTCTCTGATCCTACTGAAAAAGAAGTGGTAAGCTGTGCTGGTGTTACTGCTAGAACAGCACCTGTCATGCAGCCTGTACTAGAGTTACCCCTCCCACTGTTACTGCTCACCCATCTAATTATTCAGTGTACAGTATATTGTAACACTAAGGATTTTGTCTCCTTTTCAAACTATTTCATGAAATTTCAGAGGACGTCTTCTCTTCATGCACATCTTAAAATTTTCATTCATAAAGACACTATGCATATGTTAAGCAGGACCATGTCCAACACATTAATATAGTCAAGAGCAGCGAATTGTTTAAAAACATTCTTCAAGAGGGAAATACAGATTACACAAGGTCATGGATTGGCTTCTAGCTTTCTCAACTCCTGTCACTATAGTCATCTCCACATGCAGCCAGGTGTAAGGACCATTAAGCCTCTTCACCCCACACACCAACTGCATTGCCACTAAATATGTCATTTTATTACATGTTCTCGTAGTTAAAGTTTAACTGACTTCTTTTTCTATGTGATCAACCTGCCATTCCAAGCGTGGAGGGCGAAGCTTTGATCAACTCAGATTAGTCAAGGACTGGAGCTACTTTTGTGACTTAATGGATGCTCCTCTACCTTTCCTTTTGTCCACCCTTCCTTCTCTTTCTTTAGCTTATTTTAGCTCTTTATTTAGCTTAACTGGCTCAATTTCCAAGCTGCAGTTTAAGTCCTGGCCTATGAGAGCTAACTTTTACCCCATTATCAGATTGGTATGAACTGTGCAGTTAAATGCCTTCCTCATAGCAGAGGCCATGGCCCTCTGCCTGGGATTTCTTAAGCATATGTTGACAACGTGTCATAGAAGCAGGATTTTGGCTGCCATGGTTCTCCTGCTGTCCCCTGTGGCAGGTTGGAGTGTTAGGTCTGTGTTGTGTCAGGATTGATGATAGTCTTATGCAGAGTTTAGATTATGTCTTGTTCCAGATGGTTTGGAT